TGAACTCTCACTCCATCTTGTGGTGACATATAATTAAATCAATTACTCTTGCATTCCTAATAGTCATATGTGTCTCAACAACTTATGATTACCTTGTTAGGCAATGCTAAACTGTTCTTAGTTAGTAGTTATTAGTAAATATAGTAACAGCATTAAGATTTGTGTGTGGTTAAAGATAAAAATACCATTGCTTTGGGTTTTTTTTTTTTTGTCCTTTTAAAGTTTGACATACTTCACTAGCATTATTTGTGATTAAGTCTCAATTTGTAAACAAGAAAATTGTAAGATAAGTCTGTTTACATGTCTGGCTAACCTAAGCTGTACAGTAAAATCACACAAGTCCATGGATCCTGCCTGAAATATGAGAAACTTATAATTAGATGTTACTCTTATAATTAGAGCAAATTGTTATCACACAGCTAGTTGAATGGCAAAGCAAGAATTTGAATTCCAAGTAGTTTGAGTCCTAGACCCCAAGCTCTTCATCTTAACCATAGAGTTCTTTAACAGCAGTCTGAAATATGAAATGTATGGACACTGACTCTAAAAGTCAACTGCAATGATTCTTAACTATTATAAAAGCAAGATTAGATTCTTCTGGTTAAGACTGTAAGCTTTTTGTATCATGGATATTCTTTGTAGTAATGGATGGTCTAGTAAAATAAATATACACATTGAGTGCTATATGGTAAATCCTCTTTTGGAGGAACATCATGATTATGGAACAATATAATTTATGCATTTAAATGTTTTCCCAGAATGGGGTATGGTAAATAAAAACTAAGCTGAACATTTTATCTAGAACATGATTATAAATTTTATATTACCTTGAGATTATTATTGTCAACTAACAATACTGTAGTATTCATAAATAATGGTATATTAGTCTCAAAAAAGCTTGAAGGAAATATGCCACACAATTAATTAACAGGAAGCACCTCTGGCTTTTTACTTTACCAATTTTCTGAATTGTGTACAATGTATCTTTTTTTAAACTTGATCAATTAAGACATGATTTGGTTAACAGAATGGTTTCTACCAGTATATTGTGCATATTTGCTTCAGTAAAAAAGCAGAATGTGCTCTTTTTGTTTTAATTTTGGTTTCTTCCAGGTAGTATTCCAGCTTTACAAAATTGAATACCTTTCTCAGAGTGGTTTTTAAAAAAGATTTTATTTATATGAGAGAGCACATATGCCCAATGCCTGCAAGCAAAAGCACAAGTGGGGGTGGGTTGGAGAATGGGAGTGGGACAAGTAGGCTCCTGGCTGAGCAGGGAGTTAAGCTCAGCACTCCATCTGATATCCCTGATATCATGACCTGGGCTGAAGTCAGATGCTTAACTGGCTGAGCCTCCCAGGTGTCCCTCTCAGCGTGTTTTAAGTTACACTGGACTTTGGGGCACCGGATCACTCAGTTAAGCATCCAACTTTTAATTTTGGCTCAGGTATTGATCTTAGGGTCTGAGGTCAAACCCCATGTTGAGCACTGTGCTGGTCATGGAGCCCGCTTAAGATTCTCTCTGCCCCATCTGCTCATTCACTCTCTCTTCAAAGAAAAGATACATTA